TATGTGTATGTGTATGTGTGTGTGCTTCGGACCTCGCTTGCATCAGGGTGGCGTGAAGCTCTTCGTGGGGCGACTCCCGAGAGAGGTCAACAAGCGCTTTGTCTGCGATGGTCAGCTTTATTTTTCACAGCAAAGATCCAGAGGAAGCACGGGGCCGTGTCATCTATGTGGGTTTGCTGCCACGAACCGCGCGGCGCGCAGTGGGCACAGGGCCGCGGGCTCCGAGAGAGGTTCCGCCGAGCCAGGCGGTGCTTGGCAGCAGCGGCTCTCAACAAAAACGCTTGCCCTCGGCCACGGCGACTGGCTGACATGGTTTCTGTCTCTGCGACCAGGACCCAGCTTGAGGAGTGCTTCGGGGAGTTCGGGGAAGTCCTCGAAGTCTTCATCATCGCCTCCCAGGTGCGACCTGCGCATCGTTCGGGTCTCGGGGGCTTGGGGGGGGGTCCCCTGCATTCGGAGGCCGCCAGCGGCGTTGGCTGTGCCTTCGTTCGGATGGCCTCGTGAGAACCTCAATTAGGAAGTGCGAAGGAAAAGAGGTCGCCCGGGCGCTGCCAGGATCCCGGCGGCTGAGGAGGCCATCGCGGAGCTCCACGAGCAGCGGGTGCCCGGCTGACACAAACAACAGTTTGATTGCTGCTGCACGCCCCTCCGCTCCCAGACAGCCTCCAAACCCTCCCTTTTGCGGTGAGGTGCTGATCCCGGAGCAGGCAGACTTGGGGCCGATGCAGGCCTAAACCCTTCTCGCGCAGAGCGGAGAGCGGGGGGGCGGTCGCTCCACGAGGTCGCGTTCGCCAAGGGTGAGGCGATCCGCCTCGGCACCGGACTCAGACTCCGAGGCGTCTAGAAAACGAAGCCGAGTCTAAGCGCCCTCCCAGGTCTTGACGAGAAGGAGGAGATTTTGCCAAGCTTCAAAGAAGCACGACAAAAGGCAGGGCGACAGCATCTTAGCTCGAAGCATCTCCTGCTCGTGCGCAGGTGGTGGAGCACCAGGAGAAGAAGCACTTCTTCGAGAAGATGCAAAAGCAGCAAGAGGAGAGCCGCGGGCCGTGCGCGCGCTCTTCACGCTCTTTTCTTCGAGATGTCCCTCCCTCGCGAGCGCATCTCTTCGCATCTTCGCGTCAGGAGCAGGCCAAGGCCCGGTGGGGGGGGGGGTTCACGTGAGCGGGTTAGCGGCCCTTCCCATGTCGGGCTGCGTCAGCTCCTGCTCCCTTGATGCGTCTCTGCATCTCTCTCTCTCTCTCTCTCTCTCTCTCTCTCTCTCTTTTGCAGATTGTGGAGTATCAGCATGCGTTGATGATGCAACACCAGGCCCGGCCCTCAGAGGACAGAGACCTGTCAGCAGAAGCCGATGCGAGTCTCGTGTATTTAGAGGCCATGCTGCAGCAGATTCAGGAGAAGCCTCGGGAGGACAGCTGAGGGGCCCTGTAGTGTGGCTTAAGCCTAAGCGGCAGTCTCGCAGGATCTCGTCACCATCGTAAAGGATGGCCAAAGGAATGGCGGTCAGCCTTTCAAGCTGCGGCCCCAGCTGAGCTAATATGGGCTGCCCCCGGCGCCGGGAGCCTTGGCGTTGCAGGCAGAGGTGGTGGAGCTTCTGCGATGCCGGATGGCCATGTCCTTACAATCTCGAGATGCTGAAGCTTGGTAGGGGACCGTCTGCGTCCGTCTAGATAGGCGACTTGGCGATAGCAGCGATCACCTCCACTTCTAATTGAGCTCGAGGTCGGGCTGCCGGGACTACGACCCCAACCACCACGGCAAGGAGGCCTTGGCCCACTTCGTCTCTGCTTGGAGCTCGGCGGGGGAGATGCGCTCTGTCAGAGTCCAGAGTCGTCTGTCTCGCTTTTAAACAAAGAAGGTAGCGAGCACCGAGTACGGCCTGGCTCTCAGCACTCAGCTCTCTTCTCGCTGAGCGGCTGAGCTGTGGCTGCTGAGGTCACGAGCAGTGGTTCAAGTCGCGATTCCCAAAGCTTCCAGCTCTGCCTGAGAAGCCGAAGGGAATGCCGGAACCAGGAGAAAAAGCCAGAGCTGGAAGGGGGAGTCAGTGAGAGTCGGAGTCGCTGCCAGGATCTCCGGGCATGATGCCGTCCTTGTCCCAGCTTTTTTTCGGGTCTAACAACCAGAGCTATGGAAAGGGAAGTGTGGCAGACGTCTTGTGTGTGCAGGCCCGGAGCTCCGCCACCCGGACCTGGGCCCCCGCACGGGCCCCCGCACGGGCCACCGGGGCCACCCGGGCCACCCGGCGGCTTGGGTCCCCGCCCTCCCATGGCCATGGGGCCCGGAGGCCCAATCCCTCCTGGGCCTCCGGGACTGCCGCCACATCTGCCGCCGCATCTGCCGCCGATGCCCGGAATGCCCGGAATGCCGCCGGGAATGCCGGGCGCCCCCAAAGAACCGCACAGCCTGAACCCAAAAAGCTTGTGTGTGTAGAAGAGCTCTCAGGCCCGGACCACCCTTCGGACCGCCTGGCGTGCCGCTCCTGCCAGGGTCCGGGGCACTGCAGACAGACGTCGGTCTCTTTGCCTTTTTTTCGGCAGGATGCCGCCGCCCTTCCCGCTGATGCATCCTCCCCCAGGCCATATGAAACCTCTGTCTCTGCCGCTCTCGCTCTGTCTGTCCGTCCGTCCGTGTCTCTCCGTCTCTCACGCACACCGTGCATTTGTCGTACCTCTTTTGGCACCATACAGCATGCAGTAGCGGAATTTTGTGCAGTGTACAGCTTGCGAATGGTTCATTGCAGAGCTTACCACATCGATTCAGGCAGCGAGATTCCTGCGGGGGATGGGGGTGGTGGCCGCGTGGAGCTCAGGGAGTTTGCTGAGGCGAGCTGTTTACAAAAAGAATGGCTGTATACTGACCACAGCTGCTGCATCCACACTTTTCCTTTGCCCTCTTTTCGTTTAATTAAAAGCAAGAAGCGCGCATCTCTTTGCCTTCTTTGTTTTAATTAAAAGGAAAAGGCACGACGGCAAAGGACCCAGAATTACCATTATATCTCTCTTGGTAGGGATATGATTAGATTATAGGTGGAATCCTGTAGTTGTATCCTAACACCTTAATCATAATGGTATAGGAAAAGACCTAATTTTAATGTAATAAACGTAAGGGAACGCACGGTTTATTAATATTAAAATTGGGCTTTTTCCCGTGTGCCGTTCCGTTCCTTTGCGTTAAATTAAAACAAACCATGCTTACACTTCGTTCCATTATGTTTGTTTAATTTAGAGCAAAGAACGAAAGGAATGGAAACACCAATCTCATAAAGGCAACAGATGGTGGAACAAAGGCTAGCGACTCATGCGGTTGGACTGGTTCCTCAAGGCCTTGTGTTTTAATTAATTGAACTGAACACAAAGGAGGAACGTATAGTGGTTCATTTATAGTTAAATAAACGCAGCACCCTTTTTCTTTGTGTTGTGTTTGCTTTTTAATTCAACCACACACTCTTTCATTCCATTCTTTCACTTGTGTTTAATTAAAGAGCAAGAACAACACAAGGAAAAAGCACAATAACCCAACCTCTGTTTCCAAGTCTTTTGTTCCTTTGTGCTTACTTTAATTTAGCTCTTTTACAATGGAACGAAGTGTAAGCGTGAAAAGGGCTAAATTAAACAAACACAAAGGGCTGTGACTTAATTTTAAACTAATGCAATGCAACCAACAGAGATCACAACTACACCTCAGGTTTGTTTTGCAACTCTTTCTCGCAATGCTGTCGTGTTTGAAATCTTGTCAGGCGAGTTTCCCTCCTTGTGCTGTATGTCCAGCGACAGTTAGCTTACTTACAACTAGAGTTACAGAACTTAGGAAAAGCCTACTGAATAGCAAGTTCTAAGTCAAGTTATAAGTTCCATAGATTTTCGCAACTTATGTAGTGCTGGTTGTTTTAATGGTTCTGTTTTTCAGTTCAAAGCAATTATAGATAATAAAAACACCGCGTGCCTCACGTCAGCTGATGCTTTTTAGGCTTCAACTGAAGCAGAAAACATGGCGCGCAATGGCGCGCAGTTTTGTTCAAATTGCTTGGTAAACGAACGAGGAAACCACCGCTTGCAGCTTAATTAGCAAACGTTCGTATTTAAGCTCAAATGTGGACGTGGGAAAGCTGGAGAACCATGAATTTGCAATGCTAATTGCCAGCAATAAAGCAGTAAGGCAGTAAGTTCTAATCCTCTAGTAAGCTTCTAGCTGCAGTAAAGAAATAAGTTCTAAGCTTTTAGTTGCAGTAAAGTAACTAATTTTGGATCCGTTACTCACGTCGCCGAGTCTAAGCAAAAACAAAAAAGTTAAGGGACTGTTTTTTGATTCCTTACAGATGGGGGGATGTGGGGTTTCTTTTTGCCGGTGCAAAAAAAGGATTTCCGGGTAAGAGCTTTTAAATATAGGGATATTTAGTAATCATACTAATCAAGTGCACAGCTTGTGGAGATATAGAGCTATAGAGATGCAAAAGTTAGGTTGGGGGTGCAGGGGCGTGCAGAGGCTGCGGGGAGCTCGCGAGGCCTGGGAGCGGTGGGGAGGGGGGCTCGAGGCCCAAGGCTTTACGTACCAGTGGTCCTCGAAGCAATAAACAGTTGGAAGCAACATACCGTACTGACATGAGTTACATTAGGCTTGATGCGATCTGTCATACTCACATTGTATTGCTCTGTCTTGTATTGATATTAAGTCGCTATGATAGATATATATATATATATTGAGGTAAAACAAACTTTCACATCAATAGTAAATTCCAGTTTTTGTATTACTGCAAAATAGGTTACAAGTCAGTCAAACGTTATGTAACAGAGACTCGTATTGCTATATGATTATATGAATACTATATCAAGAATATGCAGAACTTGGCTAATATGTCAATAGACAACTACTCTTACTTACGACTGTTGTTTTACAATAAGAATGTTAGGATGTGTTTCTATTTTGCTATGGCACAGAATAATAGTATACTATACGATAAAGCCCTACCGCATATTATATACACCATATCATGTTGCATTCTATTCTGCTTGGTAATGCTATCTGATAATACAATGTTATATGAGATTAATAAAATATAGCGTATATAGATACACAAGCCATGTATGTATAGACTACAGGATAACTGCATAATGTTGTTTTGCGTTACATTCCTGATTGAAATGTTTCTTGTAGGCATCCACAAACTTCCGTGCTGCTGCACCTACGTATTACCGGAGGGACTGGGCTGGAAGTTTCACGAAATATGTGTCAGTTGTGCGCCACACCAGCAAACAGATTAATGACCAATTATGGACCAGCCTCGCAGAGAAAAGTCCAGCTTCCTCAACCCATCTTATGCAGGGCTTCTCAGTGCCGGATGTACAATTTCGAAGGTTTGTAGCTATGCCGAGTCGTTTTATCATGTAACATGCTTTAGTAAGCCTTAGTAGATTACAGTTTACTTCATGAACTAACACTACATCACATTGGGTTATATTCTGTTATATCATGAAGTTTATTTGATATTGTTTGGTGTTTTACTCGTACAGTATGCATACTGAATGATTATTCAGCATTGTACGGTATAATAACATGAGGCAGAAATTATCACATAGGAAAAAGACAATCTAGTAGAAGATGGTATAACCAATCATACCCAAAAAATCAAACAGTAATGTAACACAATACAACATAATATACTTACCTTATAGTCTATATATATATACACACGTGGTTTTGTGTATCTATATACGCTATATTACACTAATCCAATATAACATTTTATTACCAGATAGCATTACGAAACATAATAGAATACAGCATGCTATGGTGCATATAATATGCGGTAAGGCTTTATCGAAAAAGTATGCTTTTCTGTATCATAGCAGAATAGAAACAAATACTAACATTCTTAATGTAAATATTAGCCGTAAGTAAGAGTAGTTGTCTATTGACAGATTAGCCAAGTTCTGCGTATTGTTGATATAGTATTCGTATAATCATCTAGCAATACGAGTCCATGTTATATTTAAGGGGCTGCGCCCAGAGTCGGGCAACGCAGGCAATTCATTCATGCATTCCTTAATTCATTCATTCGTTCATTCAGTCATTCGTTCATTCAATCAATCCATCAATTTTTCAATCAATCAATCAATCATTCATTCAATCATTCGTTCATTCAATCATTCATTCATTGGGTAGCATGGGGAATGGCCGCAAAACGTGCGCCTTGCCGGGTAAGCCTCCCAACCAGCCCGCGCGGCCCGATGGAAAAACGAGGGTCCAATGATGCTTTTAGAGCACTTTCATGCGACCCCAATGCCTGCCCAACCCCTCCTCAAACCCACCCGGCCCGGCCCTACTCGGCCCCACTCAGCCCCCTCAATCCTTTATTTAATGCGACCCCAATGCCTGCCCAACTCCTCCCGGCCCTACTCCGCCCTACATTCGGCCCCACCCAGCCCCACTCAACCCTTTAGAGTTTTAGCCCTGAGCTAGAGTACTTTAATGCGACCCCAATGCCTGCCCAACCCCTCCTCAAACCCACCCGGCCCTACCCGGCCCTACTCGGCCTTACTCGGCCCCACTCAGCCCTTCTCAACCCTTTAGAGTTTTAGCCCTGAGCTACTTTTTAATCCTATCCCCCTTGTATTAAATGCCCCCCTAATAATAAAAATACATTGTCCGAAATCCACCCAAAATAATCCCTGCCCTTTAAACCCATTTTGAATTAGGGGGTGACAATCATCACATCACCCTCAC